CCAATTTTATATTGTAAAATTGAAGTAACTTACAGAGGAGTAAAAGGAGTCGGTCTTAGGCAACAGAGGAGGAAATTCGGGAAACCACTGCAAGTGAAGATCTCATCGACAAGTACGATAGGAAATACAACAGGAGCCTGAGCTAAAGAAGATGCACATTTCTTGTTCTTATTTTTATTGAATTAAAATCATATTTTAATTGAAATAACTTTATCATATGTTGGAATAATTATTGGAATATTGTCTTTCAAAGTAAATAAACTATACAATACAATCTAGTAAACGAACGTTCCCTTTTCTTTCTTTTTTTTAAAAAAAAAAAAAAACCTACGTCCCAGAAATAAATAAATTCATTGTAATGACTCTGGACGACGGCTGAGGATACCCCAGCAAAAACTAAATATTTTTGAACGCCACCAAAAAGTGTCGTTACAGCATATTGCACATATGGTGCAATGTGCGGCTCAGTTATTTGTCATCAAAATAATGACAAAATAAAGGTTCATATTACTTGACAATAGTTTGTCATAAATTTTATTAAAATATAACTGTGTCAATGGTTACTTTAAATTATTCGGAACACTTGAGTGTTTTGTGATATGTGTGGTCTTGTACTCATATCACATTACACTACCGTACAATGGCCACACATGATTAAACGTTTGTTACGAGTGCACAATCATAACGGCGTGAGTCAAACAAAATTTAAAAGTGTAATATGATAAAAGTCAAAACGACAAAGCGACAAATGTGCATTTAATAAATTATGTCACAATTGTTTTGTTACTTTATGCAATGACTTGTCATATTAAACAATGATATAGGTCATGGGCACCACAACCAAAAATCAGCATTTCTTATCATCGAACTGACGGGCTAATGTTTTTTGGCTTTAATCAACAACTGCCAAGATTCAAATAACCTTGCCCACTTTTAGGAAAATGTACGATCACCTAAAATACTACATATATTCCACGGAAAAACTGCAAAACGTAAAATAATTATTTAACTCACAACAGTGGCAATATTATTGTTTTATTATAATTTTAATATATTACACTAAAAGTATTTGATGATGATTAAAGGTTATTAATCAAGTTTAAGTTTTCACGCCCAATGACTTTTTACTGTAAATGCTATTTCGTTTATGTTTACACAATATTTATTTTTATTCAATTAATCAAGCTAAGAAAACAATTAAAAGTTTATACAACTTATTCTTTAACAGTAAGTATTCGCATTTCGCTTTATAGTCGAATAATGTAGATTATATTTTTAGTCGAGTTTGCAGTTTTTGATTAACTATGAAAAGCTTTTTATTACGCACTTTTTTGCCACTGCAATTATTACAATCAAAATTATTTAAATACATAAGCTCACGGATAAAACTGTTTCTGTCGAATATTTTATTTTTAATGAAAAGAGCGCTATCACCGAAAAACCAAACTATAGCAAGCGACGCTTTTTATATACTGGCATCAAAAATGTCTACCGCATCATGCTGCCATCATGTATTCTTGTCTTTTAGTAATGCTGCCACCATGTTTTTGTGTTTTCTCATTTTTATATGATGCTGCCACAACTTCTTTACTCGTCGTTTCGTCGTCAAGCAAACACATCCTCCTCTCTTGCTTGTTTCACACGCAACTCCTTATTTAATAAAGATCAGCTGTTTCCTCAAGAGCAGGGGTAGAGTTGCATTTTGGATATTCTTATCCCATAAGTATTATATATTCACATATATATATTTATTTTATAAATATTAATTATTTAATATTTTTCCAATTGAAATAAACAATTATTAATTGAATCCCAACAAGTCCATTTTTATAATTTCAACGTTAAGACAGTTACGTGCTTGCAATCTCGTTGTTCAACTCATTTCGATGCACGATTTTTTACTAAACATAAACATTACAAACAAACAGTGTAATGTTTACAGTTAATAATAGTGATTAAGAATACACTTTATTTAATTTTCAATTTAATATTCAGTGATTAAGAATACATTTTATTTAATTTCCAAGTTTTACAATTGTAACAAATAAAAGAACCCACGTGCACCCACCGAACTACTACGAATAACAACCAAGCAAAAAGTGTGCCTACAAAAGGGTGGTGTTTCAATGCATTTCGCTTGTTTTGATGTTCAAAAAGGTGCAATCCCAATGTACTGCGTATTTGGTTCACGAACAAATAGTTTAACTACTTTTTTATTTTTATCTCATTATTTAATAATTTAACTTAACGGAATATTTTAATTTGTTTTACTTTCATTAAATCTTATTATTTAAAATTTTGGGTTAAACGGAATGTATTTTCTTTTTGCTACGCAAAATTGTATGTTTCCCGATTAACCTTCTTTTCTTACTGCACTCTTGCTACTGAGGACTCAGTCTCCAAACTAAGTAGCGAGACATAATCAAAACACTCTACGTTCTTGGTAAAACCAGCATGCAAATTAATATTCGGGTTCGTGATTTTGTTTTTTAAAAAATTATATTTTATTTATTAATATTTTTAATTACAATTTTTTATTACAATTTATTGAATATAATTTATTGTATATAATATATTTAACTTTTCTGTTGCTATTATTAAAGAGACCGACCAACGACTTTATTTTTTAACGACTGCTTTTTAACGACTCTTTAACTGAACCGTTTATATTGACTCTTTACTAACGACTGACAATTCAAAGTTTTTCCTTTGATGCCTGAAGTCGTTATTGAAAATCTGAAATTGGATTTTATCCAATTAAATTCAAGCTTCTAAAATTCCTAAGAATTTTCTAGAAGCGTCTTTTCTCCATCCAATAGGATTGGAGCTTCTATTTGCTAAAGCACCTCGTCAGCGTTTTTAGCTTTGGCGTCAATAGCCAAATAGCCTCTGTCTTGTCAAAATCGGCTTTATGTGATTTTGTTGTACAGTGGGAAGCAAGCTCAGTTTTGGTCCGACCTGTGTCCCTTAATTCTTGTTTTTAATTTCTTTTTAGTGGTTTCAATATATACCATGTTGCATTTTTCTTGGCTGTTTTTCATGCATGGTTTTTTATATATTATTTTGGACCTTTCTTTAGGAATTTTTGTTTTATTAAAGAATTGTGCAATATTGTCTTATATATTCGTTGCAATGTTATATATTTTTCTATCATATCATTTCGAATATTTGAATTTTTTAATTAGTCCTGGAATATATGTCATTGATTTTAAGCTTTTGATTATTTCACTGGTCTTTCCTTTTTATTGTTTTCTTTGTTTTGTTTTGAATACTTTTATTAGTAATATTTTTTCTGTAGATTTAACATGTGCTTACCTCAGGGGATGTTTCATTTGAGGTGGTGAAGTTATTAGTGGCTATTATGAAACTTCTACCGATAGACGAAAGACTTTTATCTATTGAGTCGATTGGTAATCAAATTTGGTATTATGAAACTTGATAGCAAAGAATATCTTTACAAGAACGGAAACTCCGCCCACTTCGTGAGAGTGCATTTGAAATTGCTTTTGAAAACTTGTTTTTTATAACATTTTGGCACACGTATTGTATTGATCTTACCACGATAACATCAAATTGCTCTCTTTTTGGGGTTGCAGTATAATAATTTGCTGCTACTTGCTAATCATATGTTAACTTTTTAGTAATATAAAAAACTTTTGCTTCCTTATTTGGTTAATAATATGACATTAAGTAAACAAAATATATATTGTAATAAATAATATATGATAAATATATATATAAATTAATATATAATAATTTAAATCAATTAATTTAAATCAGTTTAGTTTACTTAATCATGTAATATATATTCAGTAAATTAATTTTTGTTGCAGCACTTAAGTGATCTATGATAAATTGTGTTTCTCTGCGAAGACTTAATTTTTAAATTTAGTGCCAAAAAATATGTTGATGAGGAAGGGTGTACGCGCATTCGCTTTAAATGTGTGTGGTACGTATTATTGCCTTACATGTTTTCTAATTGATCAGTAACAATAAATCTGTTGATAAGGGAGGGTGTGCGCGCATTCGCTCTAAATGTATGTGATGAATAATACTTATTATTAATTTACATACATTACAGTATGATCAGTAGCGAAAAATCTATTGATAAGAGTGGGTGCATGCGCATTCATTGTCGGGTTTATGAGTTTTTCTTATGTAGATATATTTTTATATAAAATTTAACAATTTTTAAATTTTAATATTGAAAAATTTAGTACTTGCAATTTTGCAAGTACGATCTTCATCACCAAAATCTTCAAGCCCAACTATATTGTCATTATGTCTGTCATACTGAAGGTGACTTTTCAAAGACATTTCATCGCAGGGTACAGAAACGAATCTTTGTTCGTATGAGAAGCCACGACTTCGTAACTCCAAAGCTTTAATACTACTATGCGTGCAGCCTGGAGACTTGGGCCAAGTTGTGACGAACTCTCGTAAGGTTCGTTCTGATGGCCAATTAAAACTTACGCGTAAATGTCTGTAAGTTAGGGGTGAAAGAAAATAAACTCCTAATGCTATTGTTTTCAACTTAGAATCATAGCGATACCCATGTGAATGACGATTACTGTTTCGAAAACAATTTCTTACACATACCTGCATATTTTGCGGAAGCTTGCTACAAAGCTCATCTATCAAACTCTCATCTAAAGGTAAGTCCACACCTAAGCGAACGCTTGCGAACGAACGAACATTCGCAGGTAATGTGGACGGCAAAGCAAACGCGAACGATTCGATTTGTAGTGTTCGTTAGCATTCGGAAGGATTTGCGTTCGGCAAGAAATTTGAGTAGAGTTTGATCGTTCGTTCGCTCACATTTGCTATGTAATCTGGACGTCTACTAAACGCAATAGAACGTTCGTACAAATTTATTGTACATTTGTGCGTAGATGACATGCAAACGAATGTTCGTTCATTTGATGTTTTCTTTTATGCAACAATCGTGATTAGTCGTGTGTGTAATTATATTACATAATCTATTATATAATATATAAAGTATATAAAATATAAATATAATAATATATAAAGAAATGAGCAATAACGTGATTATAGCTAGTGCTGCTTTCATAGTTATATCTGAGGGCTCCAAAAAAAAGCGTAAATGTTGGATGTCAGAGTTTCTGAATAAAAGAAATTGTATATGCACACCGCTTTTTAAAGAACTGGATGTTAAACGCTTTCATAACTTCTGTCGGATGTCTGAAATGGACTTCGATAAGATTTTAAAATTGATATCTTCTAAAATATCGAAAGAAGATACAAAGTTTAGAAAAAGTATAACTCCAGCAGAAAGACTGGCAGTCACCCTCAGATTTTTGGCAACTGGGGATTCATTTACCAGCTTGGAGTATTTATTTAGAATATCGAAGCAATCTATATCCAAAATTGTACCTGAAGTTTGTTCGGCTTTGCTCGAAGCATTGAAAGAATATGTGAAGGTAAGATTTTAATTCAAATCAATAACTTTATTAATAATTAAAGCTATTATACAAGTATAATTATATTAAAAACTATATGTCAAAAGCTAAACTTAAAGTAAACTGATAAAAAATTATAATTATTGATATAACTATATAAATATTATTACATAATATTTAATAATCTGCTCCACTATCGTAAAGTGGATCGGATGATGACAGCACTTGCTGACCACATAATTGAATATTTTCGGCAACATCACTTTGTGTAAACAAAAACACTTGCGGTTCTGTAGCATCATTTGTTTGATTCAATGGTGACGGCAACGGGGAAGATGTATTTGGAAACATGTCAAACGCTCCCATATCAGCATCAAATATAATATTATTTATTTTGTGCTGTACGACGTTCATTGTCCTTTTCGAATATGTCCTTAATTTACGCGCAATATGATCTCCATATACTGCGCAATCATCATTTTTCGCAACAGCTTCTTTCAATATCTTGTAAGCTTCTTCTATCTTCGGGTTTTCGTTGTGCTTACGTTTTGATGGCGCTTTTTTGGGTGACTTAAAAATTCGGTTCGCATTATCCTCCACGGAAATTTCGATATCATTCAGTGTTTGATCTTGGATTGGATTAGAATCACAAGTTGAAAGCTGTGAAATATTGTTAAAATTTTAATATATTTTTTATAGACTTTTACTTTTTATCTAATGATGTTTTCTAATACAGATATATTTCTTTTAAAATCAATTTTTCAGACGCCTATTTCTCCTGAAGAATGGTGCGCTGTTGCTAAAGTATTTGAACAGAAATGGAACTTCAACAATTGTATCGGAGCTATAGATGGAAAGCACTGTGTTCTTCAAGCTCCATTTCATTCAGGAAGCGATTACTTCAACTACAAATCTTCTTTTAGTATTGTTCTTCTGGGTATTGTGGATGCAGAATATAAATTTTTATATGCTAACGTAGGTTGCCAAGGAAGAATATCAGATGGCGGCGTTTTTAATAACAGCGCTTTCTACAAATAACTTAAAAATGAAACTTTGGGACTACCAGAAGAAATGACGTTGCCTGGGAGCACAAACAAAGTACCATTTGTTTTTGTTGCTGATGATGCTTTTCCACTGAAACCAAATATTTTGAAGCCCTACAGCGGAAAACACGATAAAGGCTTAATAGAGCGTATTTTCAACTATAGACTTTCCAGAGCTCGTACAGTCGTTGAAAACACATTCGGAGTTTTGTCCAGCGTTTTTCGTGTTTTAAGAAAACCTATTCAATTACAGCCAGAAAAAGCATCTATTATAATTTTAGCTTGTATACATCTTCACAATTTTTTACGGTCAAGCAGTTCTTCGAAACATTTGTATAACCCTCCGGGGACACTTGACAGTGAATGTGATGGCATTGTTACTCCAGGCACTTGGAGAACAGACACTAACGATTGCAATTCTTTTAAATCTTTACGAAAAGTGGCTAGAAAGCCTCCAGCTCAAGGTGAAGATATTAGAAAGCTGTATGGAGAATACTTTATGGATGCAGGAAAAATTCCTTGGCAGGATTATTATGCGTAGATTTTCTTTATTAAATAAATTACGTTATTAAGCTTATTTTTTAATACTATTAAAAAATTACTTGTAAATACTAAGTCAGGTTTAAGAATAAACAATAAAAATCCAAAAATTTACATAATGTTATTTCATTCGTTAAAAACTAATCAATTTTTATTGCAAAAAAACGATTTTACATAAATATTGGTAATATATAAATAAATACATACTTCTTTTAGACCAATTTAGGAATTGGTCTTGGTTGGAATTTATCCAACAGAAATTCCATCGCTTTAAAGCCAAACCACGTGGACTTATATTGCTCATCAGCAGCACTTCCAGACTTCTTTTCTTTTTGCTTCTTCCGCTCGCGTCGAAAAGACGATAACAAAGAATTCATTTTTTTCTTAATGTCGTTGACATCTATTTCCATATCATGAGCAATTCTGTCCAGGCATCGTGTTTCATTTTAATATTTTTGTAATTAGGACTTGTACAGTCCCACAAACACTCTTTATTCCTGTACAGTTCAATTAATTGAAAAACGCGATTATCTCGCCATTCCATATTGATTTGTAAATATAAAAGTATTTTAAATAAGACACTAGACACTAATAATATAGAATATGTGAACACATTCGTTCATTGTTCCATCGCTAAGCGAACATTCACGAACGCAAACAAATATTTCTTTTCATACAAAATATTCGTCCACATCTAACAGCAAATACAATCGAACAAACGAACGAATTGGTACAAATTTTACAGCAAACGCAAATGCATCGGAACACTACCAAACTCTACAAATGCGTTCGCTCGCAATTGTTTCATCGTGTAGACCACCTTACAAATTTTTGTTCGTTCGCTTTGTTTCCTATAAAGTTTTTTACCCGTCCACACCTAAAATAATTCGCATGCATTTGTGCGAACGTTCGTTCGCAAGCGTTCGCTTAGGTGTGGACTTACCTTAAATTGCTTGTAACACTTTCAATAGTATTACATTTTAAAAGCAACTCTTTGTTCTCTTTAATTATTTCTAAACTTTCATTTTTTTCCCTAATTTCTACTTCTTTACTTTTAATAATTTCAATTTTTTCTTCAACTACCTTCTCTAACTTTTTTAATTTTATTAAAATTTCTGAATATTTTTCGTTAAGTTTTCTTTTTCTGGGAGTTGCTTCAGAAAGACTATTGTCTGTTTGGACCTCTCTTCCACAAACAGAAATTTCACTTCTATCAAAGGTTTTACTAACTCCTATGCTAGAGAGGTGATTTTGCTTTTCATTTTCCACATTGCTTTCGTTGTTAATTACATTTTTATTTAAATTACTAATATAACTTAAATCTAAATTAACGTCCGGGATTGCGCATTTAGAAATTTGTGCAGAACACATCATTTCGGCAGAAAAATGATTGTTACAGGCAAACATATATTTAGTTTGCCCAACTACTCCTAAGCGCTTCATCCATTCTGTTCTAATTTGGTAATAAATTATCAGAATTAAATGAAATACAAAAATAAAAATTAATTATAAAGAAAAACAAGTATATTTGGTTAGTTACATAAAAAGAATCAACAATAAAAAATAAACATATTTAACTACAAATAATAACACAAAGTTAGTTTTGTCTTTGCAGACGTTTCAATAATTTTCACACAAATAGCTATGCTAAAAAACAATTATTTACTTTTTACATACGATATACATATTTTTAACAGAGTTCGTATTTGCGTACCCATGAGCGGCTCATTTCGGCTCATTCTGCTCACGGCTCATGAGCCGGCAAAAAACTCTTTTCATACGATGGCTCACGCTCACGAGCGAGCCCAACTACAGAGCTCACGCTCACGAGCAAGAGCCGCCATTAAGTTATAAATGGGCTCACGCTCGTGACCAAGAGTATGAGCTGCGGCTCATGAGATCTTATGCGCCCAATTTAAGATTTTGCTATTATTTTTTTTTGTGAAAACATGTCATTAAAAAGATTAAAAATATTAATAACCTTGAACTAACTAAAATATGGACATAATCAAGTTCCTAAAATAAATAATAAATATATTTTTATTGTTTAATAACAATATTTTATAAATTTGTTTTTCAAATTCAAATTATTGTTTCGTTATATTGTTTTAATATGAAATTATATATTTTTACATATAACGTTTATAAAAATAAATAAAGCAAATAAACTAGTAAATCGCTTTTTATTAAACATTTGAGCTCGTGAGCTCTTTGCTCGTGAGACCTCATGAGCAGCTCTTCAATATGAGCAACTTGAAGGCTCACGCTGGTGAGCAGCTCTTTAATATGAGCCAATTATAGGCTCACGCTCATGAGCCCATTTTGGGCTCACGTAAGAATTGGCTCTTGCTCATGAGCCTGAGCTGCTCATGAGTGAGCAAATACGAACCCTGATTTTTAACGCCTCTATTTAAATAAATTTATTGTACAATTAAATTTCAATAAATACATGCCATTGAAAATACAATCTATTTAAACATTTATTTTGTAGATTACTTAACATTTATGATCAGTAAGATTCATATTCCATTTTCATTTTCTGGTATAGGATAAGAACTACAAGATATATAAAAACCATTTTTATAACGATTTTTTGTTTTTTTTATATAATAATTTTAAATATAATTTGATTGAAATTAATATTTTCAATAATATTAAAAAAAAATCTGGAAACGTTATTCGCAAAAAATCAGGGTTTTTATTATAAATTGTTTTTTATAATTTTATTGCTTTATCATTACGAACATAAATTATTACTTACAATTATTTTAATTAACACATCCATATTTGTTATTCCACATATACTGTATTCCACATATACTGTAAAACAATTATGCAAAACACTTATGCCACAAGTTTACGTAAAACTGAAATGCAAAGTTTACCTTCGTTCCTCATTGTTGTCCGGGAATTTATAAAGGGATTTAAACTCCTTACATCCTTTAATACACTTTTTTCCCATATTTATATATAAATACTAAACTTTATTTTCACAATTTATTTGTTTTTATACAGTAATAACACAATATGCTACTACTTTCAATTTTAACTACTTTTTGTTAAATATTTGCGCGGTAAATTTTGTATGATTTGGCGCAACGAAATTTTATATTACTCTCAAAAAATCAAAACCAAAAAACAAAACCACACTCTTTCTTACACTCTTCGTGGTAAACTTTTTGAAATATTCCGTTCTCAAAAGTACTCGAAGCATTGGAAAAAGGTGAAAAGGTGAAAAATTTCAGTGATTTCAGTTGGTGTTAGTGTACTTTTCACTAACACTTTCAAGAGCCCTACGGCAAATTGTTGTTGTGCGAAAAAACAAATTTTAGTTCACAATGGAGTTACCGTTCTTATAAGGTATTCTTTGCTTGATAGACAAACATATGCACTATTGTGAATCATGTCAGGGTTTTAGAGCGTGCAGCTTTAATCGAATTTATTTTGTTATTTTGTTTGATTTGTGTTCGCTAAGAAACATTGAAATTGAATTCAAATTCTTTTTAAAATAAATAAAAATATATTTTAATAATACGAAATTATTATTTAGTATTACATTACAGTAATAAACTAAAGTAATATATTTAAATTAAACTTTAATATTCTAAAAATAAATATATGTCGCATTTGCATTTCTTAACCGCCGACTCGCCATGATGCGATGCGTTCGTTCTCGCTTATTAACCAATTCTGACGCCTCCTTTCTCATTCAGTGCTACAACCCATCAGCTGATTCAGCTATTCATACACATTTCTTTATTCAGCGCGATAGCGCCCTCTATATGTGAGTGAGAAGCACAAGCGCCACCTACCTGCGAGTAGCGACCACATCCAAACATACTAGTTTGGCATCACTGCCGACACGGCCATTCTGACATTCCACACGTCCCTGTGTGGTGTCGTTTTAATTCATCAAAACCCCTCCACTTCGGCCATTCCTGATTGTTTCACTCAACAATTCGTGCCCTTGCTTAACACCGTGTCTCATGACTCAAATCAATCACTATCGCTTATCTCTAGCGATCTGCAGTGTCTCATGACACAAATCAATCACTATCGCTTATCTCTAGCGATCTGCAGTGTCTCATAACACAAATCAATTACTATCGCTTATCTCTAGCGATCTGCAGTGTCTCATGACACAAATCAATTACTATCGCTTGTCTCTAGCGATCTCCAGTGTCCCATGACACAAATCAATTACTATCGCTTATATCTAGCGATCTGCAGTGTCCCATGACACAAATCAATTACTATCGCTTATATCTAGCGATCTGCAGTGTCCGCTGACACAAATTAATTACTATCGCTTATATCTAGCGATCTGCAGTGTCCACTGACACAAATTAATTACTATTGCTTATATCTAGCGATCTGCAGTGTCCACCGACACAAATTAATTACTATTTAACAAGTTACTAATCATAATTTATTACAATAATGTTGTTTTTTCGTTTTTTTTTTACAAGGTACAAAATTCAAATACAAGTTTAATCTTCTTCTTCATATATGTGATCCGGCATCTTTCGTAATCTCTCATGTGCATATTTGTAAGTTCGATTTGAACACAAACCCTTAAGTGTGTACCTATCACCGTTCAACACTTCAACAACCTTATATGAACCCTTATATTTAGGATCCAGCTTGCTTTGATTTCGCTCCTCGTTTTGTAACAGGACGAAATCACCTACAGAAAACCTCTTTACTTTACTCTTTAAGGAGTCAAAACGCTTTTTGTCATAAACCGAGTTTTTCTCTATATTTATTAAAACATTTTCTCTAACCTTTTCCAAGTCTATTTCCACATCATCACAATGGGCTGACACTAAATTCAGAGGTCTAGCCGACTTTCCAATTAAGATTTCAAGGGGGCTCGCTTGAGTTACCCGATTCATTGAGCAGTTGAGAGCTAACTGAACCTCAGGTAAGGCATCTTGCCAGGAAATATCAGTGGTTTCCACTGCAGTAAGTATGTTTTTGAGAGTACTCATTATTTGCTCAACTTGTCCGTTAGCTCTAGGGCTACTTGTAGCAATTAAATGAAGTCTAATGTTATGTGCAACGCAAAAATCTTTAAACTCCTTACTTGCAAAACAACGACCCTGATCTGCAATTATTCTGTTAGGGGCACCAAACAGTGAAATACTCTTTCTTAGAGCCTCTATACTACTAATTGAATCAATATTAAAGGTGTGATGCAGTAAAACATATTTTGTGAAAGCATCTATGTGAACGAAAATGCATTCTTTTCGATCGTTTTTACCGCTTAGTTTACCTGTTGCATCAATGTGCAACGTGTGCCATGGAATGGCTAGTTTTGGAATAGGATGGAGTTCTATCTGACTCTTTCCTGCATTAGATTTACAAATTTTGCATGTTGCACAATTTCCAACTAATTTTGTAACAAACTTAGACATGCCCTCAAACCAATAAAACTCATATAATTTTTCAAGAGTTTTTTCAGTTCCTAAATGCATCAACGATTCATGGATGTTATTGACAATGGACTACCTAAGCGCTTTGGGAAGAATAGGTAAACAGCGATTCTTTTTCTTACGTTGTATCTTACGATACAAAATGCCCGATCGAAACTCATAAGTTTTTTCGATGTCACTATGTAATTTATGATTGAGAAAATCGGACACTATCTTTGCAATGTCAATGTCTTTTTCTTGTTCGGCCTTTAACCAATCTTCGGTTAACTCTACTAAATTGTATTTCTGAAACAATTTGCATAGTGCATTCTATACTAGCCTGTCCGATGCCGGTCACATTTACATTATTAAAAATTTTCTTACCACTAAATTTACTGCTTACACTCTTCTTCATTAAGGAACATTCAGCACCAGAATCGTATAAAAAATTGAATTTCTTGTCCTCATGTATCAGAGTCCCCATTGGCATTCCAACGGCACACATTTCCACCCGTTTCTCGATATGTTTACTTTCATTCTTTTTACATTTAGAAGCATAGTGGCCCACTTGTTTACACTTATAACAAGTTACTGCCTTATCATTGCTTGATGACGATTTACACTGGAAAGCTTTATGGCCACTCGAACCACAGCGAAAACACTTTATTGCAGCTGAACTGGAACTCTGCCGTTTAGGCGCACTGTCACCAGCACTGTCGATCATCTTTCGCTTAATAGAAATTGCTTTTAGTTCTTGCTGAAGCGATTTACAAGTGTATGCATCACACGTGTGCGCTAATCGACGCAAACGATTGTCAAATTGTGCAACATGCGCCAAAACGATAGACACAGCAATATTTTCTATCGACATATCACTCCAACGCGAAATCAGAGTGGCTGCCAGAGTCGGTGCATACGCTGCAATAGATTCACCTTCTTTTGGTCTTTTATTGTTCATGTTTAAAATAAAAGCGGCTACTGATTCGTAAATTTCAAACCGTGTTTTAAAACATTCTTTAAATTCGGCCCACGTTAGCCCCGTGTGTGATATTTGTAATAGCCACACTGACGCTGCCCCTTTCATGGCTCTGCTTAATGCAGACAATAGTGCACTTCCTTGCAGCGAATTTTCACCAACGACCATATCAGCCATCACAACCCAAGCATGAGCATCAGCGCCCTCAGTTGCTGGGTCAAATTCAGGTAAATGTATTTCGCTATTCCGACCGAGTAACGCATGCGCAATTGCTTCCAAACTTTGATTTTGACGAGCTATTATTTGCTGCCATCCTTCAAAAGATTCTGATCCCACTTCTGATGTCGCATTTGCATTTCTTAACCGCCGCCTCGCCATGATGCGATGCGTTCGTTCTCGCTTATTAACCAATTCTGACGCCTCCTTTCTCATTCAGTGCTACCACCCATCAGCTGATTCAGCTATTCATACACATTTCTTTATTCAGCGCGATAGCGCCCTCTATATGTGAGTGAGAAGCACAAGCGCCACCTACCTGCGAGTAGCGACAACATCCAAACATACTAGTTTGGCATCACTGCCGACATATATTTATATTTATATTAATTTTAATATTTTTATAATTTGTAGTTATATATACATTATATGTATATTAAATTAAATTAAATTAAATTAGTAAAATCCATATTTTTTTAAGCAGTTGAAGCTTAAGGGACCGATATTTGTATCTTTTGTTGGCATTTTCGATAGCCAATAGTAATTTTTCTTGTATTACAGTAAGTTTTTGGTCACAATACTCTTGCCTCCCTTCACTAAAATGTTTTCAATATTTTCTAGGCGATTAAACTATTAAGCTCTATCGCAATTTTCTCCCACGGTGGTCTGGAATGTGACTTGTTGCAAAAGCCTTTCGCAATGTCTGGATATTTCTCCATATTTGCAACAAGTTTTACTATCTGCTTTTTATTGCTCATCAATTTTGCCCTACAACAAAATTTATTAATTTTATAATATGTAGAAGTTATTATTATTTAATTTTATATAAATACATTATTCGTTGAATAATATATCTAAGAAATTTGAAAAATGATGGCATGTTGAAAATATTTGAAGAAATACACATAAATAAATAACAAAACAAAAAAATGCAACAATCCTTATATTCAATATAGATATAACACATTACACTTGAAATCAGATATATTAAATGATATATTATATTAAATCTAAATGAATTATTACTAACTAATAAATTAGTAATATTAAAATTATGTTAAATTTATATGTTAAATTTATATGTTAAATTTATATGTTAACAGCATTTAACAGTTTTAACAGCATTTATTTTATACGATCGACAAACTTCTACTGCTCAAATGCAGTAAAGAAATTTATCTACCGCTGATAGAAAAACTTCTATCGGTTTGAAATTCATAATACCAAAATTTGATTTTTTCTATCAGCAGTAGAAATTTTTCTACTGTCTATCAGCGATCGACAATCCATAATAGGCACTATTGTGTACAGGATTACTATTGTATGTATTGGGTATACTTTTAGCTTGCACAGTTCTTCTTCAATGGCACAATGCTCATGACAAAGTGATAATCGTTATCGTTTTGTTATTATTTTTAAAATATTTTATTTTTTTCTTTGCATTTCATAAGTGCACGGATTGCTTTTCGTGGATTGGGAGAACTATTATTGTTACAAAAAGAAAAATAAAAGAGATAATTTTTTGTAATTTGCCTTGCGGTTCGCCAAGGCTTGTACACTTTATTAAAAAACACGCTACTACAAAACTAGAAAAAACCACGCTAAAAATTCCGCCAATAATCCACACGAACGTTTGACATTAGCTGTCACTTAAGTTTTTGGGTGACCAGATGGATTTATAATTTACAGGTGACCAGTTGTACTTTTCGGTTTAACATCCCGGCCCCATTGAATCATCTGAATTCAATATTGGTAATAACGCCAGCTTCGCAATGGGTCGAGTGAGTGTGGTTTCAGGCGTCTTAACTTCTGCCACTCTGACCTTGCCATCTGCTCCTGTTACCGTGCGAATGATGCGACCAAGAAGCCATTTCATAGGTGGCAGGTTATCGTCATGAATAATTACTAAGTCACCGACCCTTAAATTGCGAGTTGAATGTTGCCAACGATTTCGTGATTGTAACGTGCATAAATATTCATGTTGCCAGCGACGCCAAAATTGAGATTTTACTGCAGTAATTCGTTTCCATCGAGCAAGCAACGAAATTTCCTGTGACGTAATCACTGGTTCCGGTATGTGCTTTAGTTTTTTGCCGATTAGCAATTCGCCTGGTGTTAATACTGACAAGTCATTAGGATCTGTGGATATACTTGTAAGTGGACGGGAATTCATCACAGCTTCGATCTCGACGAGAGCCGTAGCTAGTTCTTCGAATGTAAGTCGAGCATTTGATAGGGTTTTGTACAAGTGTGATTTTGCAATTTTTACCGCAGCTTCCCAGAGACCTCCGAAGTGAGGTGCCCTTGGCGGTATAAAGGAAAAGTCAATACGTAAATTTGCGCAATGTGACGTGATGGTATTAATTGTACATTGTTTATTAAAGAAATTGCGGAACTCTCTGAGCTTGTTGTCTGCACCAACGAAATTTGTTGCGTTGTCGCAAAATATCTTCATAGGCACACCTCGACGACCAACGAATCGTTTTAACGCTGATATGAATGCGTCTGCAGATAATTCTGTTACAGCCTCCAAATGCACCGCTTTACTTCCAAAGCATACAAACACAGCAATATAAGATTTATATGGTCGCTTGCCTCTTATCTTTAAATATGTGGGTATTGGTCCGGCAAAATCGACTCCAGTAACATGAAACGGCAAGCATTCTGTGACTCGTTCTTAAGGAAGATTACCCATTACTTGCTCTAACAATTTCGGTTTATATTTGATGCAGTGAATACAGTTACGAACTACCTGAGTTGCTAAAGACTTGCAATTTATGACCCAAAATTCTTGTTGAATGAGTGTTGTTAAGGCTCGCGGTCCGGCATGAAAATTCGAGCGGTGTATGTGTGTCGCTAATGAGACTACGAATGTGTCCGCCTTTGGCAATAATAGAGGATGCTTCACTTCAAAAGATACATCTGCATTCATCAGACGGCCACCAACGCGTAATAACAACAAGTTCCCAAACTGTTCGAGAAACGGACATAAGTTTGCTAGTTGACCCTTAATTGGCTTTTTTGTTTTCAGCAATGTAATTTCTCTAGCAAAATGGTGCTGTTGAATAGCCCAAACAATATGATATAGAGCATTTTTTAATTCGCTAGCCTTGAGTACATCAGTATTTCTTGATCGTGGTTGAATGACACGTAACACGTAGGCAAATGTACGCACACATTTAAGATAATTACCATAATAATAAATTTGTTCGATAATATATGATGGTTTCCTTTGTTTAATAATCAGACACGTTTTCTTGCGTTCCAAATTAAGATGTGTGGTCTGTAATTCCACTGATGAGTGCAGAGGTCATTCATTAATGTTGTTTTGGAGAAATGTTGGCCCGTGAAACCATATGGATGACTGCAATGTGTGCACCGAACACCCACGCGAAATGACGTCTGCCGGATTATTTGCTGAATCAACATGATGCCATGTAGTATTTGTTGACAAATTTTGGATGTCGGCAACTCGATTGCCAACGAAAACGGATAATGTTGATGATTCAGAGCGAATCCAATGAAGTGTGATTTGTGAATCGGACCAGAAATGGACTTCTGATATTTCAAACGATAAATGCGGTTGTACCTTTGCCCATAATTTCGTTAATAATTGAGCTGAACAGAGTTCTAGTCGTGGCAACGAACATGTTTTCGTAGGAGCCAATCTTGATTTTGAAGTAAGTAAGTTTACGCATATGGTTCCCAACGAATCCTTACATCTCAAGTATAGGCAGCAACCGTGCGCCTTTTCAGATGCATCACAGAAGCCGTGAACTTGTACTTCAATTGTGTTAGACATTCGTACAAAACGAGGAATATGTAGCAGTGGTAAATGTTGCAAGTCATCAATGAAATCCTTAAATTTACTTGCTAAAATCTCTGGAATGCCTTCATCCCAAGAAATATTTTGTACCCACAGCTGTTGTAATATGATTCTTGGTACTACAATGATTGGATTGATTAGGCCCAACGGATCGAAAAATGAAGCTGTAAATGATAGAATCGATCTTTTAGTAGTAACGCTTACCAATTTTTTAGGTTTAAACGAAAACATAAATACATCTGTATCTGGTCTCCATTTTACTCCAAGAGCACTGGTTGTGTCTTCATTCAGCTGAAGGTCGCGTTCCAAAGTTGCATTTAAGTTACAATGACTACAATGCCACTTACACAATTCCATCCCAAAGTGATTTAATATTTCAGAAACTTCTTCTTTTATTTGCACCAATGTTGCCAAATCGTCCGCTCCGGTGACCATATCGTCGACGTAAAAGTCGTTTAGAATACCGGCCTTTCCTAGTTCATGCGCCTGATGATAATTTTCAGCAGCATACTGGAGACTTCGTATTGCAAGGTGTGGAGCCGCTGATGTGCCGTATGTGACGGTGTTAAGCATATACGTTGAGATTGGTTTGTGTTCATTTTCTCGCCATAGTATTAGTTGGAACCGCCTATCATCTGGATGAAGCAACACTTGACGGTACATTTTGTTTATGTCTGCCATTAACCCATACTGATGGTTCCGAAAACGAATTAGTGTAACAAATAAATCGTTTTGTATTGTTGGTCCGACCATCAGTAAGTCATTTAGTGATACTTGTGATGCTGAGCGACATGACGCGTCAAATACTACTCTCAATTTCGTGGTCTCACTAGTTGGTTTCAACACGTAATGATGTGGAATGAAATAGTGAGCACGACTCAGATCAGGAGACATAATCCGGGACATGTGACCTAGATTTTCATATTCCTTTAAAAACAATGCGTAATCCTTTTTCAATGATGGATTTTTATTCAGTTTTCGTTCCATCCAATAAAATTTCTGCAACGCTATGTCACTAGAGTTACCGAGAGCATCGGGATTGGTTTTAAATGGAAAACGTACTATTATTCGATTTTCGGCATTTACCTGTACATTCTCTACAAAATGCTTTTCACATTGTTGTTGCTCAATGGTGAATTTCGAAGGTTGGGTAGTAACATCCTCCAATTTCCACAGACGTTCAACATTAGAGTTTGATGTTTGGAATGTTGTGCAAAAACTTCGGTAATCTGAAGATGACATGCTTGATGATTCACATTTACCACTCACAATCCACCCCAATTTGGTCTCTTGAAGTGTTGGTAGATTAACACCGAGTTGGGTGCGACCAGATAACAATAACGCGAAAAATACTTCCGTTCCCAATAGTGCATCGATTTTTCCTGGGACATTGAATTCAGGATCTGCAAATTCGATGGCTTTCGGCATCGGCATATTCTTTAAGGAGATAGATTCGTCAGGTTGATAGCCAGTGATGTTGTTTGTTAACAGGAATTCAACCGATTTTTCAAAATTGCTTACTCTGGATCGTATAGTAGTTTGAGTTTTGAAGTTTAATTTTATGCAAGCGTCATCAACACCAGATAAATCAATTGAGGATTTTGATTTTCTTAAATTTAACATCTGTGCAAATGAATGTGTGAGTAGATTCACCTGAGAACAGGAATCCAGTAGTGCTCTACATATATGGTAGCAACCACCAGCATCTTGCACAAGAATAATAGCTGTGGCTAAAATGACTGTACTTTTCTTTTGAATTGAGTCGCTTCTTACTGAAGTGGCATGTGATGTGGCTGAGAATGTACTAATTTGATGTTCACCATTATCCGCTGAATGTAGAAAAGGAACTTGTACTGGTGACTCAACAGTTTGGTGAATCAAGGAATGATGTCGCTGCTTACAAAACCGACACGAGTATCTTGATGGGCATTCCGATACACTATGTCCCTTATTAAGACAGTTATAACATAATTGCAATTGACGTACCTTTTCTTTCTTATCTTTAGTGGATAACATAATAAAACGCTGACACGTAGTAATTGAGTGATTTTTCTTCAAACAAAATACGCATACCAATTCGGATTTCTGAAATTTATTTATACTTGTTAGCATTGTATATTGTTTTGATCCCTTGATGACTGGTTTATTTGCTAATTGATTTGATACTTGAAGGTTATTGTTTTTGCCTTGTGCTTCCAATTGTTGACATCTTCTTTCTAACATTTTACAACAGCCCTCCCATGTAGGCAACGTTTCGTAAGACAGCTGATCCTCCCAACGTTGCTTCGTACCGGGATCCACTTTGTTCATTAACAGATGGATCATGATTGCGTCCATGATTTGTGTCGTAGAACTCAATGTTTTGAGTGAACTATAGAGCGCTGACATTGTATCTACAATATTTCTGAGCTGTTTGGAATCCGATTTACAAGCCACAGGAACCTTAAAGAGTGCAGATATATTTTCTAAAAATATGAGCGTGTCATTATCATAGCGATCATTTAAACGTGCAATAACTAGCTCGTAGTTTTCTTCCGACACTTGAAAGGCCTTTACGGTTGATAGCGCCTCTCCACTTAAACATGTCAACAAATGGTTGAATTTTTCGATCTTGGATATAGTAGCATCATTATTAACTAAGTTATTAAATGAGTGTATGAAGTTTTTATAATCCATATAATTTCCATCAAAATGTGGCAATTTCAAAGCTGGTAAACGAGTGTTATTAATTGTTGGTGACATTACGAAGCTGTGTTCGTTATTAACAACATCTCTTGGTCGGCGTTCTTCCATAAGAGACTTTATTTTAGTTTTAACCGTGATATACAACTCATCTAAATCATTGCGTCCACCATCAGCGGGATCTAAATTCTCAATTTGAAATTGATAGTAAGTAGATTGCTTATAGTACGACTTTACCAATCCCAATCTACACTCCAATTCAATGTAAGATAATTGTTTTGTTGAATCAATTTGATTATTAATTCGTGTTAAGCTTCCCTTGCACGATGCTCTTTGTTGCTTTAGAGACGTTACTGCTAATGGTTTTGGTGTAGTTGCTGCGTTCTCTCCGTCTGACATAATGAAGCTGCTACAATTTTAACCTTCAGATGATGCAAACGATTGTATTGAATGTTATTAAAATTCGAAAGTCTGTTGCGAATTGAACAACAAACTATTTGTACTCTGATCAGCACCTGCTGATACGGACTCCAATTATGCGAATTGGAAGAAAGTCCTGTCACGGTCGCCAAAATGTTACAAAAAGAAAAATAAAAGAGATAATTTTTTGTAATTTGCCTTGCGGTTCGCCAAGGCTTGTACACTTTATTAAAAAACACGCTACTACAAAACTAGAAAAAACCACTCTAAAAATTCCGCCAATAATCCACACGAACGTTTGACATTAGCTGTCACTTAAGTTTTTGGGTGACCAGATGGATTTATAATTTACATGTGACCAGTTGTACTTTTCGGTTTAACAATTATAATCATTTTCATTGTTGCCACCCGCTATATCACAATTGGTGCAATGGAATCTAACGAAATAAATTCCACATCCAATTGGTTAGCCTTGCTTTGCAGATATAAGATGTTACTCGTCGTTTGACGAGGTTCCTACTAATCCCGCAAGAATAACATCCTACTGAAATATTGCCATTTAGTACAATGTTGATAGGCGGCTGCCTGTTATTCAACCAAAGTTATAAGTAAATCGCAATCTATTTCCTAAAAGTATCATATTGTATCTTTTTATATTTCCATTAATAAAATAATAAATATACCATCACTATTGGAAACTTCTTATTTACTATTTGATATTTAAAAGGTGTACAATTATTCTCTATTTAAATACCTATATTAACAGATCTTATTTATTCATGACGTGTTGTGTCTACCTGTTGTTAAGGATTAGTGTCCTCAGAAGCCGCTTATGGCACGGTGGCTAGCACGGTATGCTCGCCGGTATTGGGGCGGGGTTTTTGACATCTGAGGCTACACTGCAGACAACAACAAAAAAATTATTTCGTGCCATACTTCCTAAGAAAACAATCTACTTCTAATTTCAACTAAAATTCATCATCTATTTATTTACTTCTATTACACCTATAATATATCCTATAACCTAAACATCACTTCCAAATTATTTGTCTCCATTTATTAATTTCTTTACTGCTTAACAACTATTTATTTCAGTTTCTATTTCTGTCCTTATAATTATTTCACTCATTTCACTTTTAAAATCTAATATAAAAAAATATAAAAAAACTAAAAAAAAAAAAACTAAATTATATACACTAACAAGAATTAACTCGAGCAAAGTAATCACGTTTCTTATCGAATTGTTCAATTTTTTTTTTGCTTGAATTGAAAAAAACTCTCATTATACAAGATGGGAAGCGCTTGATGCTCAACCTTGATGATTACAGCAGCAGCGGTGGGAACTTCCACGCCTTATGGAGTTTAGGCTACATGATCTTCCCCTGGGCAAGCCCGCTGTTTCCGCCGCTTTTAGTATTTTTATCTCCATGTCCCAGTCTATGTTTTTGCTTCTACCAGCATGTGTTACCATCATCTCCTCAAAATTAGGAAATGATGGCAACACCTCGGGCAAGGCCTGGTCTCTAATACTTCTCTGTGACATCTTTTTGTTATATTTTCTTACTTATGCTTTCCTTGCTCAATGATAACAAAAAAAAATGTTTCAGATGCGGATCTCTCAAAAAAAAATTGAACTCAATGTATGTTATCTAGCAGGGATACAGCTTTGCCCTTAAGAGTGAAGTGTGACACAATCTTAGTACCACCCCTTTATCCTAGAATATTTCTTAATGCCTCATGTCATCATCTTTGAATATATTGCAACTATATTATATAAACATACAGTGAAGCAAGATCAATTATGGTTACTTGTTGCTTTATTTTTCTATTCAACTGTTTTACATATAAAATTTAGATTTGTTACAAATATCAATGGTACAATATTCATGTAATTAAGTTTACAAAAATAATAATAAAAAAAACTGTCTCTTTACATATAAACTTTAGATTATATATAAAATATTAATGATACGATATTCATGTAATTAAGTTTACAACAATAAGAATAAAAAAGAAAAAAACTGTCTATATATATATAAACTTTAGATTATATAAAAAATATTAATGATACGATATTCATGTAATTAAGTTTACAACAATAAGAATAAAAAAAAAAACTGTCTATATACATATAAACTTTAGATTATATAAAAAATATTAATGCAATTCATTTACTTTCTTAGTTTACAAATTTTTTAATTATAATTATATTATATTCCTCGTTGTTTGAACATATGAATTAAAAACTAAATGTTATTTCATCAAAAGAAAAAAAAATTCAAGAATGCCAATAAAAAAAAATCAAAAAAAACTTATTTATATAAAGGAAAAAAAAAACAATCTGACGCCCGGTGAAGACTTTAGTCAGGCGTTCGTTTCTTGTACCAAAAAAAAATGAGGTGCGCGTATAGATCATATGATTGTTATCATAACAACAAAATAAGCGAGCAAAAGTAATTCCTTTATCAATAAAAAAAAATATAAATAAATCAGTTCAAAATACTTACTCCAGTAGCTGTAATGACGTCACCAAAGCTGCCGTTGTATCTAGCTGAAACTTTATATATAAAAAAAAATTATGTTTTTTTTTTTTTTCTATTTAAACGAAAAATTCCACTATGTTTCTCATAATGCGTTAAGCGAATTATGAGTATTTAAACTTTCCAAATTGATTTTTTTATATATATATATAAATAAAAGAAATCAGTCAATAAAAAAAAATTATCGACATCCCGTGTACCGGCCGAGAAAAAAATAAAAAAATATTATATTACCACTTCATAAATGCAAGATTATTAATTATTGGCATTTAATACACATATTAAATAATTAGAAGGGTTTTCGAATAACAAAGAAAGAAATAAAGGACAAACACAAAAATTTATTTTTAATTTTATTGAAGTTTGGCTGACCATACAACGCTGTTTCGAGTATTGCCAAGTACTCTTCATCAGTGGTCTTTGGCAATAATCGAATTTTATTTAATTAGTTTGTAGTCCGTATATAATTTGTTTGGACTGCAAGTGCCAGGCTTAGAACTCGTGCCTGTCAAATTAGAAGCGATGACTAATCGTGTTTATCCACAAGAAGCCAAGGCTGCACAAACTTTCAATGCTCAAAAATTCAAACACAAAAATTTATTTTTAATTTTATTGAAGTTTGGCTGACCATACAACGCTGTTTCGAGTATTGCCAAGTACTCTTCATCAGTAGTCTTTGGGAATAATCGAATTTTATTTAATTAGTTTATAGTCCGTATATAATTCGTTTGGACTGCAAGCGCCAGGCTTAGAACTCGTGCCTGTCAAATTAGAAGCGTGACTAATCGTGTTTATCCACAAGAAGCCAAGGCTGCACAAACTTTCAATGCTCAAGTAATTTGTCGGGTACGTTACCGGTTGTTTCGATGTTTGTATCTGCCTTATGCAGGTTACTCGTTTTTGTTCGCTACCCGTCTGCTTTCCCCTTTTCTACACGGTCACTTGGTAGTACCTTAGGGGTAGTATAATAGGGGTTTATCTATAGGTCGCTCACGAGGTGTTGGTTTTTTGTATTTGATTATTGCCTTCTGACGTAGCGTTGGTCGACTGTTTTTTGGGGGTGCTACTGTAATTTTCCTTGCGTATTCTATTTTGTTCTTCTGATCGAATGGTTCCTATGCTTCTGGCAATAGCTGGCTGCGTGGCTTTGCGGAGTTTAATGTTTCTATTTGTCTGCGACACTTTGGCGCGGTATTTAAGAACTTAACTTCGTCGATGGGCCTCCTGGTTGCTGTGCTATTTGTTGGTGCTTCTGTGTGTACCTTTTGTTTACTTGACATATTGGTTTGGTTTAATTTGAAGCGGAGATACTGGAGTTTATGGCCAACATTATCTCAGATATACCCTCGTCCCAACGCCGTTGCTCTGTTGCTGTGTTCTGTGCGATCATTGTTTTTATAGTGCGATTCGGCGCCGGGAGATCTTTAATGGCGGCAATCTTATCCGGGTCAGTATGGATGCCTTTTGGTGTTACCAGGTGGCCAAGATACTTGATTTCCTTCGCAAAGAACTTACATTTCTTGATATTCAATTTTAACCTCGCTTTTTTAAGCCGATGGAATACCTCCTTCAAATTGGTCATATAACTATGATGACTATGATGTCATCTAGGTTGGCGAAGGCGTATGGTTCCAGGTCGGGCCCAATTACGGTGTCTAACGCTCTCTGGAAAGTTGCTGGTGCCGAATGCAGTCCAAATGGCATCACGCGCCGTTGGTATAGTCCTCGTCCTGGCACCGTGAAAGCCATATATACCTTACTATTCTCAGCCATCGGGATTTGCCAATACCCACTTTTTAAGTCTAGGCTGCTAATGTATTTCGCATCCCGCAGTTGGTCTAGAATATGCTGGATTCGTGGTATTGGGTAGGCATCTGGAATGGATCGTGCATTTATCTGCCGATAATCTACGCACAAACGCCAACTGTCGTCCTTCTTCTTCACGAGCACCACCGGGGAACTGTATGCGCTGGTGGAGCGTTCTATATAACCCTTTTCGAGGAGTTCATCAATTTCTTGATTAAGGATTTTCTGCATTGCCGGATTCTGAGATCCTTGCTCGTCCTTCCTCTCTTCCGCGCTCCTCGTTGTTAATGTTTTATAATCGTTTGCAAGCGTGATGAGTTCGTCCAATGAACTAAAGTCTCGTCGTTTTAAATATCTCTGATACTCAGTTCCACAGTTACGATATAGTCGTTCCAATTTCTCCTGCTCAGTCATCCTCAAGTGTCGCATTAGTTTTTGCATTTGAAGAACATACCTTCGAAATGGTTCACCCGCTCGTTGCAACCGGGCTCGCAAATCATCTTCTAAACGTTCGAAATATCGGTGCGGTAGGAAGAAGCTTAAAAAGTCATGTTTGAACAAGTGCCAGTACCTCCACTCTTTCTTATTATGACGAAACCACTCCAGAGCCTGTCCTTTTAATAGTTCGGGCAT